CGGACGGACCTGCTCTTTCGATGACATACATTTCTCTATCTAGCGTCCAGCACTGTAGGTAAGTGATGATTGGAGAAACCCCTCGCATTTTTTGACTTTGTCTTTCTTTGACGGCTTCCAGTATCCTCTGCCTAAACCTTCGAAGATCCTCTTTCAAGGTTCTTCTGCACCGTTTGCTACAAGTCGTTCAAGGTGAGTCAAGTTTAAGCCTTGCTTCCAGGCTTCTCCTTTTTCGAGCAATGATTAGGTGGTTTTTCAGTGCTTTTTACAGTTGTCAAGGCACATCCTCTGCTGTCCATAGGCCTTTGACTTTTCCTGAAGCTAATCACTCTTAGGGTCCTTCTCGTAAGCCAATTTATGTCGCCGACAGGCTGAAAGAGCTTATATCTTGATATGAGCTCTTTCAGCCTGTAGGCGACATAAATTCTTCTTTCCGCTTTGACAGTTTCTTTTAGCTTTCGACTAAATCGCACTTCTCACTAAAGAGGTGTGACTGAAAACGCTGCAGAAAGATGAAACTTTGACTGGTGAATATGTGGCTGGGTGAGCTGTTTCCACTTCTCATATCTTCCATCTCCTTCCTGTCTATGAAGAAAGAACATCAATGGAGAAGCAATACGGCAGAAAGAATTACAAAAACGGTTCTTTTCGAGCCCATGCCTAAACATTGAAAAAGGTCCTCTTCTTTCGATGTCAGTGTCCGCGCAGAACCTCCTTTTTCTGCAACATATAGTTCGGTACTTATGATCATAGTTAAGCTGCACGTTAGAGCCAACAGCATACAACCAGAGCAAAAAATGACATGGCATGAGTCCGCATCGTTAGGTTGCGTCACGCCTACGGCCTGTCTGTCTGCTCTCTTTTCACTGATCTCTGAGGATTGGCATCCCCAGGGGACCAAGCTTCATAGGATAGATAGGAAAGCAGCAGTGGCGGTTCGAGAGAAGCCCCCACCCCCCAAGAATGGGTCGCGAAATTTTTGAAGTCACTCATATGGATTATAAAATTGTGCAAGTGACTTGTTTATACTTGTAAACAATTAAAATAATTTTTGAAATTTTTTAAAATATCAAATTAGCCTTGTTAAAGGGGTTATGGGCCCGCAAAAATTTTGAGAAGCACCCCAAAAAATTTTTCAGGGGTGCGTGGCTAACGCCATGTGCCTTCATTTGAAAAAAAAATTTTGCCGCCACCCCCCGGACGGAAATCCCGGGACCGCCACTGGAAAGCAGTAATACATATACCTCGGGTAGCAATATGTGACGCACCCCTTCTCAGATTGGCTTCCCTCCCCGCGAAGAAGTACGTGCATAAGGGCCTGTAAGATTGATATCGGTTTTTACTTCTAATCTGCGTGCCTCTTTCCGGCTACGCTTTTGTAAATGACAATGGCCGTTCTTTACTTTTTTCAAGCGCTCTGAAACCCTCAAAATATAAAATGTTCGTATAATGGTAAATGGTAAACCGCGGTTTATTCGAAGCGAATTCGTGTGTAAGTTTAATGAGTGCCTAGAAAGCGCTCATGGTGAGAGAAAAACATAGAATGTAGCTACTTATTTTACTTTGAGAAAATGTGTTAAATGGTTTAGGTGATTGATTGACCAAATATCCAAGTAATCGGCGGGTAAGAAAATGATAATTGTAACTACTAGGGAGATCTCGCGATAAGGAAACTGCTGATGTGATGCATAGTGACATTATGTCATGACCTGGAATGCGTTTGCATTCCTGATCACGAAAACGTTCAGCAAGTACAGGGCTTATCAGTTGAAGTGTCGGGTGCACCAGTATCTCCATTTCCGCGCTGAACCTGCGTCTCTCCCCCGAAACATGCTCTCTGAGCACTTTCTCAGGGCGAGAGTGGGAAAGGCGGAGCCTCAATCGATTGAAAGTGATTAGAGAGCATGTTCCGCGGAAGAGACGCAGAGTCCAGCGCGGGAGTGGAAATGCTGGTGCACCCGACACTTCAATTGATAAGCCCTGTATATCACTTCTGCTTGCTGAGGTGGAAGAGCTTTGATCTTTAGAAACTATTCAAAGTTGACATCTACAGATAAGTTTTCAATCAAGTCAAATATCTCTCATAATTTAGCCGAGATACGCATGCTTTCGCCCATTCGCCTCAGTCTCACCCTCTCATATCAATTTCTGTTCAAAGCAAAAACGAATATTATGCGAAAAGAATTATGCAGTCATAAAGTGACATTTATAGCTAGTTATGTATTGTAAGTAATCCCGCATAATATGCAGCAAGTAGGGTGAGCTCGAGTGATTAACCGAGGTACGCATGGTTTCGCCCATTCGCCTCAGTCTCACCCTCTCATATCAATTTCTGTTCAAAACAAAAACGAATATTATGCGAAAAGAATTATGCAATCACAAAGTGACATTCGAAGCTAGTTATGTATTGTAAGTAATCCCGCATAATATGCAGCAAGTAGGGTGAGCTCGAGTGATTAACCGAGGTACGCATGGTTTCGCCCATTCGCGTTAGCCTCACTCTTTCATATCAAATTCCCATTAACAGAAAATGAGAGAAACTTCGAAATTATTGTCATGGTACAAAATATCAACTTTACTACCTATTCGGTGATGCTCTCCGTGTTGATACAATTATAAGCCTATCCTCATGCCTCATGACAGACTCGCCAGGTGCGGGCTGTCAGCAAACTCTGCCTTTCTGCAAGCGGTCAGCAAAACTTTGGGACGTGGCCAAACCTTTGAACAAGCGGTACTTCCGTGTTCTGCCGGCGGGCAGCAATACAATATTTTCTGCAAGCGCAATATTTTCTTCAGCGAGCGCAAGCCAAACTTTCAGCAGGCGCTCGGACTCTTTTTACGCAGTTTCGGGAGTACGCCGAGCAAAGGTAACATTCTATAATACATAACAAAGGTGCCTTCAGTGCTTCAGTTAGCCGAATTTGGGGTAGTTTCTCTCAGCGGAAGGTATCTTTGGGCTGCGCGGTCCTTCACAAAGGACCGTACGGCCTCAATAATTTTGCAAATTTCGGCGAAAGGTCAGCGAGAATGCGGGCAGTGCGCCGCAACCAGTTTATGAAAAAGCCTTGATTGTTCTCTTAGCCTTTCTCTAAAAAATAATCAACAATTTTCCTAATATCTGCAAGCGCCGCAAGAAATCAGCGAACTATTTGTGCCCGCCTGCCCCCGGCGATTATCTGAGCATATGCAATGGCATCTGACAGCATGCACTAACCAGCGATAAGGTTAGCTAAGGTAGTCAATTTTGGATGCTATAATTTCGATGTCATTCTTTGTTGGGTGGTATCATTCTGGTTCTCATATGTACCTGAATGAGTGTTACATGAGATTTTTTACTAGTACTTTCACCAGATTTAAAGTTTTTGTCTAGAATTAGTAATTTCTAAGTTTCCTCTTTCTTGGACCCCGGCATTGTTAGTATAGTGTGTTAGTATGTAAGTAAGCCTTCCGAGGTTAGTAGCTCTTTATTAGTGGCGGCCTAACGTTTCGAACAAGTCGTCTTCTTCAGAAGCCTGCTCCACCGTCGGCGCACGATGTTAGGGCGGCCGTCCTTTGATGCCACTAGTATCAATAATAGATAATAATGTATTTTCGATTATTGATACTAGTGGCATCGAAGGACGGCCGCCCTAACATCCGCTCCGACGGTGGAGGAAACCTCTGAAGAAGACGACTTGTTCGAAACGTTAGGCCGCCCTAATAAAGACCTACTAACCTTGGAAGGCTTATCTAAATTTAGTGTTTTTTCTCTATTTCCTTACTGACTGCTACTTAGTTTTCCTGCGTTTTATGATAAGCGCATTTCTTGCGCATGCATTTAATAAAAATTATAAAATGCGGTTATCTATGCTTTTTACAATTTGAAATGCATCCTCCATGTGTCCTTAGTTCACGGACTTAAGATTGAGAGAAAAAATACGAATACTCTTACGATTTTTTATCATAAAATACTGCAGGAAGTAGACAGTAATCTCTCTCATGATACTGATCTTGCAATTAGAGGATTTCATGACTTTTTAATAATCTAAGCTACAGTTGCACTTCTATTCAGACCGTCACAGCATTATCAGCAAAACAGCAAGAAAACGCTGTTGATATAGGCAGTGCAATGTCAATGTGTGGTGCTCAATTTCGATAGTTTCTTGTAAGCGTTGTTTGTAGATTGAGCCATAAAGATGCTGAGGAAGAAGGTTCACTGTTTACGAAAATCTGTATGCGTTACACGTGCAACTGTTAAAGTGCATTGAACTATACATAGATTCCATAGGCACAAATTGCTGCTAAATGAGGCAATGAAGCTTCTGACGTTTTCGCTGGTGCACTTAGGCAATACAGGATCATATGTTCGATTATGAAAGAATTTTAGTGCCGGTGTTGGAAGGATCAATGTTGCCATGTACGGTCATAGTCGTTTCATATATTTTTTGGTTACAGCATTTGGCATACTTTATATGCAGCAACATTTTCTAAGCTTTTGTAAAACCTGTCATTTCTGTTATACGTAGGAAAGTGTCATCCAAAGCGTACAAATTATCTGAAACTCAAAATTATTGGACTTACAGGCCTTCCTTCCTAATGAGGGGTTCCAAACGCTTGTAAATCCTTTACACTCGTTTGAATGCAGAAATTCAATTTTGACACTTTACTGAAAGTACGCTTTTACCTCCAAAAATTTCAAATGCCGATCCGAAACGTATTATACATTGAACGAGGGGGTTTCGTCCACAACTTCAAAAGCCACTTGCGCATATATATTCTTCGAATTATCAGCATCGCTAAAAAGCATTTCGCTGCATTATGACACGAATTTAGGTAAACAGACGCATTAAAACGTATTTTTTAACACGCTCTTGTACCCAGCAGTGATGCAATTTTCAAATTGCACGCCTATATTTGAAGCCATTTGAAATATACTTTATAAAACGCATAGTACAAATTGTCAATTTCTTGGGGCCTGCATTCAAACCTGATCTGAAAAATTTCGCATTGGATTTCAGAAAATGAAAATGATCGGTGTTTCGGCTCCGCTCTTATTTTTGCTTCCAGTATGGTTGAAGGCATTTTCAGTAAGCAATGTCAGTTATCAATCGCTTCTGGAAACATTTAATTCAGACTATTTGGGAATATCCGACAGAGCAATGTCACAAGAAAAATGGAACAACCTACATAGATTTTAAGAAATACAACATTACAACGAATTCAAGTACGTTACGGTGTTCACGTACCATGTTTATGTGAAGTAAGCGGCGCAGGTAACGTCTTTTTGAGGAGGTATAAGGTTTTTGTTGGAAGGAAACTTCTTATTCAATGCATCTACCCATGGCTATTGCTCAACTCAACGGTTGCCTTTGCCTTGTTTGCCGTACTTTTCGGCTTTGTTCAGATTTTAAATTCAATGGAGACCAAATTGTGATATTCTACGAAGATACGTTTGGACTCTATCCATACTACGAAAATTACAGCATGGACCACCCTGTCAATGGAGGCCTACCACAGGTAAATTACCAGAGGGAAAAAGGTAGGTCGTAGGTAATGTCTATTCAGAAATGCGATTTGAAAGCTCATCTGAAAAAGGCAAAAGAGGATATTAAAACGAACATTCCTGATGAGAACTTCAGTGGCTTGGCTATAATTGACTTTGAAAGATGGCGACCCCTTTTTTCCGAAAATGACTATATGAAGAAACGAGTAAGTGTAACGAGTAGCGGAGCAGCGTTATACTGCGGGCTATCGCCTTCGCCTGTGTTGCTCATACAAATCTTAGATGGAAAGACTTACGAGGGAAGAATACTTTGTCATGGCGTTCCCATATAAAGATGTAAACTATTTTATAAAGCATGGAACGCTGATTCCAAGTCTAGTCTATTTCGGTATCTGTAAAGTACTTCTAGGAGGGGAGTTGTTGGAATTTTTGAGGTAAGAACCTAAGATTTGCCCGAGGTAAAAACAGATGTTGTTGTCTTTCCGGCGCTTGAAAACATGTTTGGCGTGAGTTTACTAGACTGCAAGTATTAGTTGGATGAAGCGTCCGACAGTGATCATGGCCCAGTTTCAGCTCACAGGCTAAAGTTCTTAATGATTTTATCGTAGCCGCGCGTTTTTTCTTCAAAATATTCCCATAATTCACCTCACAGAAGCGCTCTGCGAATAAAGGCAGATTTGGAACCAGCGTTCCATGTTTCATAATATAGTGTACATCTCATATGAAATGCTACCTCAGCAAAGTATCCTTTGCTTGCCAGAGTAAGACACTTGTTCAGTTCCGCAGCGATGGGCACTGTAGTATAACGCCCGTCCTCCGTAACGATTAATGGCAAAAAGTCTAAAAGAGTGAGAAAAAGATTTCACTGATTTCTTTTTAAAAGGTATTCCAAAATGAATCGATCCGTATGCATAGCGGAACTCTCAACGGAACGAATATAAGCGATGATGATTATCGTGATTATTATAGCAAGGCAGAAGTCGAGTTTAACCATCATGCCAAGTTAGATACTTTACAATACTTGACCGTCGTAAAAATAATGAAAATGCGATAGAGTTTTAGACTTTTCTTTCTCAAAACGATCAACTTGGGGAAAACAATGAGAAAGAAAGCAAAGTGGGGATTTTATGGATTTCCTTATTGCAATTACGATGCAGGGAAGGGGACGTATGGGTGTCACGATAAATGGAAGAGATGGAATGACCAGTACGCAACCTACCTGAAACTGTTACAAGAAGAATTACGCCGTAACGTAGATAAAGTATTAAGTCATTTCAAGGTTCGTTCCCATCTTTTTTTTTGAAAAATCCTAACTCTCTGCTACTGCGTGGATTTGCACCAATTAAGTTTTGTTTCAATGAGGAAATCATATAGTTTCTTATTGTAGTCAAACGCCTTCTATAAGAAACAAGTGGCAAAGATAGAAATGCAAAAAGAAGATAACTCGAATTTTGGTAGTTATAACAAGCTAACCAAAAATCCGAAAATGTTACAAAAAACAACGAAACGTGAATATGTGTTTTATGATTTCCTTTATCTAAGCTAATTTCGCGCTGAAAAAAATGTCTCTACGAAAAGTTATGATTTTCAATAATTTCCATGTTCCGTTTTCTTTAAACCTGGGCATAGCTTATAATCTTCAACTCTGTTGTGCCGTACAGGTTTGTTATGGTGGCAGATTTATTCGCACTGGCCTAACGTTTCGACGCTTTCGTCGTCCTCAGAGGCCTGAAAACGACTCAAGGCATCATCCGTAATACCAGACCACCAGATATCTCCTCTAACTCAGCCAGTTTCGACTTCATTCCAACTTCGCGTCGCAAAAATCCTCGAGACAGATATACTCACCCCTTGCACCACCGCTATTCGAAATGTCCGTACGACTGGATGTGACAAAAGTTGACGGACAAGTGAGTGATACAGTAGAATGCGCATTAAGTCGCTATCCATTATCTACAACTCACACAGTGGCATATACGGCAGAAACTCAGCGGTTATAGACAGACACTCATTCTTGTTATTCATTTCTGGAGTTTTTGCGGATATCCAGAAAGCCTCTAGAATCTTCCTAGCCGTGATATCTGTTTCAAACGCCAAAAACGCAAAACGCATGAGGGAAATGATTTTGCATTTGACTGCAAAATCATTTCCCTCATGCGCGTCACTCCTGTGTTTGCCCAACGGGGTTACTAAACTCTTCCGTCTCTTGCCTGCCAGATGTTCTTTCAAACGTACGCTTAACACTCTACCAGTTTCGCCAATATATTTTGCTTTGCAATCGAGGCATTCGAGTTGGTATACTACTCCCACCCTTGCGCAGTCACCTTCTCTGCTGTATGGACACACAATGCAATTATCTGCTATACATTGTCGATCGTAAAGGCGATTACGGACAAGCTGTTTTTTGAGATTGTCGTTTGGTATGTTAACCAAAACAACATCGTCTAGTAGCTGTGCCCGCGAAATGCATTGTTGGAAGGCAGAGCTGACTTTATCTGAAATAAACGGGAGGCAGAGTGCGAGTTTGTTTTCGATTCGAATGCGGTCTTTGCGTAAACGTTGTCGACGATTACGACGTTTCGTTTGCGCCGAAATTGCGTAGCCGGTACTAGTATTAATTATTATTATTATTATTTTTATTATTATTAATTATTATTAATTATTATTTATTATTATTATTATTATTACCGTATTATTATTAGCCGAAGTTGGAATGAAGTCGAAACTGGCTGAGTTAGAGGAGATATCTGGTGGTCTGGTATTACGGATGATGCCTTGAGTCGTTTTCAGGCCTCTGAGGACGACGATAGCGTCGAAACATTAGGCCAGTGCGAATAAATCTGCCACCATAACAAACCTGTACGGCACAACAGAGTTGAAGTTAAGATTTTTATAGGAAAAACTCTGCGTTTGTCATTGATTTCATCCTGCTCTCGATTGGCTCGAATTTCAGGTAGCTAGAAAGAGGAGGTAAAACCTATAAACCTAAAAGAAAAACTTGTGACTGTTTCGGCAATCCTTGTGGCGTTTTTAGATTTTTTAAAGCGTGCTCAAAAAAGGCAAAATCAAAGTAATCTTCTTCATTTGTTCCTAACTTCCGAACTAATAATAATTTGAAAAAAGGTGCCACCTATGTCTTTGAAGCAAAGACACTTCCAGAAATTTTCGTGACCCTGCTTGAAAAATGTCAATTTTGAGTAACTTCCTAACTCAAATGTTCTCGTACTAAATTATGATAGAGGCACTGCTATAAAGAGCATGTTTTCCTCTTTCAAACTGTGACAATTTTAGGAAAATCCATTGAGAAAAGAAGTTATGATTTTTTGAAAAACTGGCGAGCGAGCTTTTGAAATGACCAAATACATACTATACTTTATATACTATAAAGTATATACAGTATTACTTGATGACGTTCTAAGCAACAAAAAAGTTTACATATTTGTATGCAAGACCAACAAGGAAGGGTCATGAAGTCGAAGTGGCCAACAGCCACAATCTGCATAATAGCGAGAGCTTGTAATAGAACAAAAATGAAGTAGTGAAATAAATTCAAGCACCAGCCTTTCTAGAAGTTGCAGCGATAGAAAGTACTCATTAGGCAAGAGGAACAAGAGAAGCTTTTGCAAGTTATCTATTATGTTGTACAAAGTGTTCCTGGGCAGTTTTGCAAATTCTATTTTCAGACTCATTTCCTTCGCACTCGGTTAAATTTTTTTCGACAAACATTTTATGTGTTTTTGTAGAAGATCTTAAGCTTTTCAGCATCGCATCTAGTTTTCATCGACGTCAAGCCGTGTTTGACTTACACACCGTAAAAGGAAGTCTGGGTAACGATGAAAAAAACACGATTTTTATTTTTGCAGTCTTTTTCTCGCAGCAAACAAAGAAAACCGTTCAAGGGTTGGTATGACTAAGGAAGCTGTCCATTTTAGAACCGCAGCTGTATTTGGATTTTACAAAACGCGCACAAGAATTACAAGTTCTCAAATTTGCTTTTGAACGTACGCGTTTTCGCAGTTGGCGTCGATATTATAAGGATCGTCACCCTCGGAGCATGGGCGCAAAAGATGTGCAAGGTATTCTCCCGACAATATATACAACAATCAAAGATTATTCGTGGAAAAAGTGGGGCAATTGCAGGGTATGCAAAAATGGTTGATCTATTGAATTTTTCGAGAAATTTTTACAGGCTGTGCTTTGGAAATGTGAAACAGTCGATAAACGCCCCAGCAGAGTCCGGATATGAGCTCTTCAGCTCTCTTCGTGCCTAAGAAAGTCCTGCGCTAACAGGCCCGAATTCAAAGTCGACCTTTTCCCTCCTGCGCATGCTGGTGGCCCGAAATAAAAGGCAGAGGACTTAATGAAATAAGCATACCCTGTAGACAACATTACCTTCGCCGCAAGGTTTGCAGCCTTCAAGAAGGATCAATCTTTTAAAGTTACAACAGCTTGAAAAAAAATTTCGCAATTATTGGGAACTTTCTTTATGATCTATATCTATTTAGAACCTGGGTCGAGCAAGAGGTGTGCCACAGAACCGATGCGACCACCCCCTCCGCTAACTTCTCTCTTAATATCCCCCACCCCTCCCCGAGCACTATGTTGCCTACCACAGGCATGACATAAGGGCTCTGGCGAGCATAATTAACAACATATTTGCAACTATCATACCAAATAACCCCTGTGGGCCAGTTTTAGCGAATTTCAAGGGCTTCCCATATTGTACCACCCAAGTGAAGTGGTCATTTCCAAACGTGTATGACTGTATCTCAAAAGTGAATTAGCAACCTCTTTTTGTATTAAATACATATAATAGAATGCTACTCCTTGTTTGCCACATCATGAATTCTGCTGCGAATAGCCATCAAACTGTGGAATTAGAAACCAACCACTATCTCATTTGTCCCATTCGGTTACAGTGTTTGTGCTTCCAGCAACTATTGCTCAAACGAAAAAAGGCGAATTTAGCTTCAATCATTTATACAGAAACTACGTTGACTATAAAACTGTATGTATTTTGTTGGCTAAAGTTCTCTTCGGAACAAAGTTAATGGGATGTGGCACAAACCTGAAAAGCTGTGGCTGCCACACCAAGCTAAGTTTGCACTGCTACGTAAATTGCAAGGGAAGACAGCAAGAACAGATGTTTTTGATAGCCTAAGCCTCGTAACTTCCACAAAAGTGATTTGAGCCTGATTGGTCTTCTGTAGTCTAAGGCCCCGGGCAGACTTCACGCGATTCGATCGTCGCGGCTGAATCGCGACAAGACAACTGTTACAACACCATTCCATGCCGATCAACTTGCACTCAGTTGTGATACTTTTCCAGCCCGAAATTTTTGAATGTGAAATGAAAAGAATGGAAATCTCGGCGATTAGATCGCGACGGTTAAGTCGCGTGAAGTCTGTCCGGGGCCTAAGACTGATAGCGAAAACTGACACAAACAAAATTTTGGCTTGCTCTTGATTACATTTTTTGGAGATTCTAAAAGTGGGATTTTTAATGTAAGCAAAGTCACCTCTAGAATAAAGTTAACGTGCTCGATGACCATTTCGCTTGGGTAGCAAAGATTTGGAGACCTCAGAGTTTGCTGGAACTTGGTCCACAGAGTTATTTGACTTGCTAATCACGAAAATGATGCTCTTACTCGCCTTTAAGATTCCTTTATTATGCTTACTGTATACGATGGTAGGCCAAAACATCAACCTGCTAGTATTTTGCATAATGTGCTTATACGATGTGATGTCTTTCTATCTCATCTTAACAAATATCATGCTATCGCTAACATCTGTGTCAGCTCGATAACGATCCCCTTCTCGTTCTTAACCCCTCAGTACTACCACAGGTGTGACATGCCACACCCCACGCTTGACCCTGTTTAAAAACTTTTCCCTTATCCGGACCCCTTTTCCAAAAAAGGATATTGTTTTTTTCTTGTATCAAATTTGGTAAGAAAAACTTCACAGGGTGAAGAGTCAACCTCCTGCCAAAAATTTGCATGTCAGCTACATGTTGCACAGGTTTAACCAAGAGCTTGTTTAGCCTATCCAACATAAGTTCAATCTGTTATCTTATTCAATAATGACCCCAATTTTAGTCAAACACATAAATGAGTCTTAACATTATGAAAATGACATTCTCTGTTCAAACAATACGCAGAGAAGTGGGCTATTTTTCTATCATCTAAACGATGAAACAATCAGCAGCCAGGTACTTCAAGCTACTGTACTACTGTACGCCAGGTACTGTACTTCAAGCTCATTTCTATTCTCTCCCGGCTAAATCCTCATCATGGCGGAAACAATGTAAAGAGCAGGATTTTTTTTTGATTCATTGTTAAAAGCCACCAAGGTAATTCAGTAAACGTTCAAAACTGTTCTGCTTTTATAAAAGATCTCTGAACAGCATTTAGATTGTTTAAATGCTCTCGTAACCTGAAAATTATTGTGAGAAGACGTCAGTTGGCCCCAAACGCGTTCATTTTTATCTTGACACGGGCAAAAAATACAGAAAACCTTAGGCTGAAGCAAGTATTTTATGAGCACATTCGAAAAATAGTTTAGATAACGGAAAAGTTCCATTAATTTCATCCTAGCCATTAGTTCATTCATCGCCTCTGAAAAATGCTCATAACCTCTTTCGCAGAAGAGCCTCGCAGATAGGAGAAGCAAGTTTGAAATTATCGGTACAAGCTCTCACTAATTTGCAGTTTGTGGTGACCCATTGCTTTGACTTCGTGACCCATCTTGCAAGAAGTAAAAATGTAGTCAAAACTGTTACTAACAATTGTTCAATTTCTCCGTTTTAATCACGAACAAATTCCAGAATGGCCTTCATATTTCAAGCAAGTCAAGCATTATTTCCGTCCGTGTATTTGGGCAGCAGCACCAAAACACAGAAACCACTTCAGCGTTTTCGCTACGTACAGGTGAGGGTGCTACTTGAGAAACTGCTGATTATTTAGAGGATGCAAAATTCTGCACATCACTGGAACACTCTATCAGCAATTAGAGGCAAGCAGAGGATGTTAATAGAAAATACGGTTGGTCGGAGGTGCAAGATTAGACGGACGAATGGGGTTCTATTAGCTGCAGGGCGTATGAGGAGCAGGGTTCACAAAGGTAACTACTCACGCACCACACTCGCTCCCGCTCAACTGATGATGCTTTTGCGCCTTTCCTGGCAGTAGACTTTAGACACAGAGACTGCTGCATGACGAAGGCGCAGAAGCAGTATCAGTTAAACGGCGCTAACCTGGCGCGCGCCTATCTTTAACGTTGTAATTTCTGCTCATCATGTGCTCCGCGGTCAATAAAGCCGCGTTCGCGCCCAAACTTATTGCACCTTCGTCATGCAGCCGCCTACAGTTTGAACACTGGCAGTAAGCGGTACACTCGTCCAACTGCGCGCCTGTCAAACTGCTTGCACTGGCTACACCGCCGCAAACAGATCTTGCTCACGGTGAATCCACTTGAATTCGAAAAGGATTGAGCTAAAAGTTTTTGGACTAGCGGAGTTAAACCTAATTCGGATTTTTTTACAGACTTTATTGATTATCAAATTTGCCAAAGCAAACTCCACCATGGTCTGCAAACACTGAAAATTTGTTCCAGTTGAAGTTTGAAGCCAAAATACACAGAGTTGTTTTTCCTCGAGAAGATCCTGATCTTTTCCTTAAAGGCAGTGTCCGGACTCGATTTTGAGATTTTGTGCTTATACGGGCCTATTCGCCATGCTGAATTCGAAAATCCACATTGGAAAGCGCGAAAACGGCGAAAGGGCTCTAATATAGGAGGGAAATCAGCAGGTGGGTGGGGCTTTCCCCAGTGCGATTTCACGCTCCCAGCTCCCGGAACGATTTTCTGGATTCCGCTACCCGTTCTAACATAGCTACCGGGCAAGTGCGAATGAATGACTTAAAACCGGAAGCGAGAAGGTCGCTCCGGAAGCCGGGAACGTGAATTCGCAGTGAGGAGGACCCCGCCCACCTGCTCATTTCCCTCCTGTGTTAGAGCCGTTTTTCGCCATTTTCGCGCTCTACAATGTGCATTTTCGGATTCAGCGTAGCGAAAAGGCCCAAGTAAGCACAAAATCTCAAAATCGAATTTGCCCGGACACTGCCTTTAAACGCTTACGGAATTCAACTTGCTTAATATATACTTTCCATCAGACATTGAAACATTGTTTCAGTTGCTGTAATTTGTTCTAAGGAAAATTTGGAAAACGATAAAAAAGACCTAGCCAAAGCAGTGTGGGTTTCTTGCGCATAGGTCTCAGGAATTTTACAGTTAATCTAAATGATGCAAAGAGATGTTCATAAACTGGCTTGAGTGGTCGCCTGGTGTTAATACGAGAGACCGAGTGACTATGCGAGGCCGAGCGGTGGTTATGAAGCTATGGCTTGCACGAAAGAGTGCAAATTAGCCATCCCAATCAGGGTCAAGCGTGTTGATGCGATCCTAGGCCCTCTTTTACGACCCCCCCCCCACATAACCCTCCCCCACCAACTCCCCCGTTCTCCCCTCTATCCCCCCCCCCCGCAACCAATAACAACCAAGAAAATTCAGCTCGGGAACGGTTTTCTTCAGTCATTATAATTGTGTATTTTATGATAAATCATTTTTTAGTGACAGACAATAAATTCTTCTGCCGTTTATGAATATTTGGCATAGCTCATTCATGTTTCAGTGGTACCGAAAGATATTGACATTGGTTTTGGAGATTAGAACGTTTCTGACGATAGTGATAATAGCAGTAATGATGTCTCGTGTTTCGTTCTCGCGAGCGACATTATTTTTTTACAGGGAAGAAAAACGACATCGAAGGCGCAAAATATGTTTTCGACTAAAAAAGCTCATTTCCTACCTCTTGCACAGTTTTCCCGCAAAAAAAACCGCTTGAGCGCCGTCCAGAACGACGTCAAAAACGTGTATGAGCACGATAGTTTGAAAATTTGTAACTAAAGTCAGGAAAAGATTAAGAGGCTCCAATGAACAGGTTTTGTAGTATAGTGCCCAGGCAACTGAAGGTAAAAGTTGCAGCCACACGGGAGCAGTAAGCTCGAAATATTTAGATGAGACCTTGCAAATTTAGGTGCGATCCTAAGCCAAAAACTGGCACTTTTGAGCTAAAAATTCCTTGACTCACTGGAGACGCAACGAAAGAGCCCGAAATTTTTATGAAAGAAAGTAGGAGGATGGCGTCGTAATACAGCAAAATTGCAGCGAGCAGGCCTCAATAGCGGCGAAAAAATTTAGATGCGACCTAGACACGACCCCCTTTTTTATTTTTTGTTGCCATATATAAAATTTTTGAAAAATGTACAGGCTTTGAAATATAACCAGATTTTGCACAACGAGCATCTCTAAAGTACAGGTGAATTCTATGGGCCTTTGAAAGACATAACAAAAAAGTTTTGAAAATTATCGATATCATCACTGCCAGAGATTAGCGCTTCTGTCGAGAGTGTGAGACTTTAGTGATGCTTCGGAACCAGGATTTCAGGCCAATTGGTATTAGGTCGTTCCATAAGTTCGTAGGGTTTTTATTTTCGTACTCATATCTTTGAGGAGCGGTTGATTTGCGGCGGAATGCATATATCGTTTGGAAGGGCTGATTGTGCTTTTTGAAATACATCTACTTATTTCAGTGGAAAACTGATTCACTCGGATCTCGCAGCTTTCAAAGATGGGCATTTGGAAAGGCAGAAAGGAGCAATTTCGGCATTTGCGCCTTTTTCGTTATGAAAAGAAGCGTTTTTGCACAGATTTTTGTGTCGATTATGTAACGTGGCGTCTGTTCATCAATATAAGACAAAAAAGAATTGGATTTTTACAAAAGAGCAGGAGCTGAGCAGGATGTCCCTGAACAAGACTTTTCGGGGGACGGGCAGGACGTCCTGCACTGAATATTGCTGGACAAGTAGGCGACGGTCAACCATACCGTAAGCAATCCAACTGCACCGTCTAAATCAGGTCCTACCGCAGAAAAAACCTAACAGACAAATTCAGTGAGTTTTTCTGCAAGACGAAACATGGCCTCATACGGCAAACGTCGTCAAAACTCTCCTGCACGACTGGAGTGGAAGGTACTTCAGTACCCAAAATACTCTCCAAACCTCGCTCTGCCAGATTATCATTTGCTCCGCTCTCTGGCAAACCTCATGAATTGTGCATGTCTCGATTTTTGCATTTTGCAAGCCTATTGGACCCTGTCTAGCATGTATGGGTCCAAAATCGCACGAAGTTCCCAAAAACCTCGTTTTCTGGAGGCCCCGCGGAAGCAACGTGGACGAGTTGTACCTTCCAAGTTCAGCCTCAGCCACAGCGGCAGCAACACAGGGGAGGTGGATGCCAAGTGGAGGGACATGTTCAAACGCGTAAGGGGGGAGACCGAAGGAGTCGTCCGCGCGTACCAAGTCGCTCTCCGCGTACCACTTTGAGCGAATTTTTCTCAGGGTGAAGGGGGTAAATTGAGTGGGACTTGTTGCAATGGCCTATTTAGAGGTCCCCTATAATAGAATATTTGAAAATTCGACCTCAACTTTGGTGAGACACTGCCTTTAACCCAAATCACAGACGCTTGTAGTACAAAAGCATGAAGCTGCTTCTTATCTCTGAAGTTCAGGCCGTGCTACGCGAAACAAGAAGGATTTCAAAAAGACATAAACAACTTCCTATCTATGCTTATACCAAGTTCGAGTATGATCAAATAGGCGTAACATCAGACTTTTACGACGTGGTAGGGTCTTCGTCTATTCATTATAACATCGACATCATCTGCTATCGTACAGCATGATTTGTGTGCTGGCATTGCACAGCCGATATTTCTCGGAGTTGACGGATTGATTCTGTGGAGCAGTAGTAGTCACATGGCGGCTCGATGCATAGGAATCAAAGAGGAAGTAAATAAAAGAGTTGGGCCGTAAGATTCAATTTTTTTAATTGTTTTGAGATCATCTTGAAATTATATTTCAGCCTGATAAGTAAACTTACGGAAGCACGCATTAAGTGCTCAGAAGAATTGTGCAATAGCACGGGAAGATGCATTCGAAGAGGATTCAAAAACCAATGGTAAGCTTCAACAGTTTTTTTAAAACCATACACAACTAATTGTTTTTTTTGTTGTAGGTGCCCCATGCCCAAACTCAAAGTCTGGGAATATGAGTATAATAAAGATGAATATGCATGCGAGTGCATAAGAGAATACAAATTTCCAAATTGTATAAAAGTAGAAAATGGACCTGCACCCAAGAAATAATAAAAAAAGTGGTCTGATCAAATGCGTCTCCTTAACAGATGAATATATCGAATAAGCCAAGAAAGACGAAAAAGTTGGAAGCTAATTCTAAACAGAGGCGGATGCACAGAAAGTGAGTCTTACGCGGAGATTAGCTTTGAAAATAGTAGGTTGTCGACTGCTGCCCTCACACCCTTTTCACACCTTCGTCGACTTATTCCCACGCAAGTCTATAAACGAGAAAAAATGGACTTCGTTGAACACGAACTCAGAATTCGCACACAACTGCCGCTTGACACCCTACAAGCTCAATGTTTTTCCATATATGAAAGCGGAGATTCGGTGAAAAAGTTTTAGCCGATCGATCGGTCTCGAGTTCGTGTCGTTTTTCGGACCTCTAGTATTTCGCGGAACAAAAACAGTTGGGCTTTTCAAACTGTCGAAGCCCTAATTGTATTAGTGACATCTTCGAAAGAGCTTCGTAGTATCTCTCCATTGTGTGCTCAGAAATTTCTCCCAAAGTTATCAACCCATTCTTTGACCTTGTCTTGAGCTAATTTTTAAGCTTACTCATGAAAAAGCCTTGTTAAATTTGAATAGAGCAAACTTTCCGCATTGAAATACTAATGAATTTTACCAATTAATTTTTTAGAATTTTTCATGAGTTTTTTAGTTGTGAACTTTCGAAAAAGTGAGTAATTTCAGAAATACGCTGCGGTTTTGCGAATATAGGAAGCAGAGGTATAATCTGCAAAAGGGTGGGGGGATGTACATTGCTTCGAGTCGCAGATGTTGCGATTGGCGCAAAATTGTGCATAGTTGCCAAAGTAATGGAAAATGCACCAGACTAAATTCCATATTTCCTGCAAATGTTTATTCCCTAGCCATGTGCTACCAAACTGGTTTAGAAAACAAAAGGTACGGAATCACCAGTGAAACCGCAAGATCCGAGTTTTCTGTAGTTTCGTGCAAAACAAATCACTATTTGAATTGTAGGATTGTCACAGTTTCAGAATGAACCCTCAAAGTGTATGTGCTCCAAAGAGTTTTGTATGTGACAACGAAACGTGATCTGTGTTACACGCTCTGCAAAAATCCGGGGTCTAACCGGCTAGACATTTCGATCATCAGCTAGAATCCGATAACAATATCAAAAAATGGAGGGCGGCCTTACCAGGAGCAGGAAGCTAAAACTTTACTGTGCGCTGGAACAAAACAAGCGCCAATGATTTTGAAAAATGTAGAAGTTGCTGTCCCACTTTCCAGGGCTAAACATTTTGCTGTGTTCATATACAGGGTGTCCCAAAAAATGTACTCATTGTTTGATTGCAAATAAGTTTCTTGTAAAGTGTTTCGAAAAGCTTTAGGTACCATTTTGTAGAGCGAGGTTCAACTTAGATTTATAGTATGGAGCGAATCACCGATCGCTCTCCATTACTGTAGGATTACGGTAAGAACTTTGAAGAGGGTTTTGAGCCATGTTCAAAACCGCAGCTTTTTTCACAATGACACCATATGCTTGAAGTTTCTACCGTAATCCTACATTAATGAAGAGCAATCAGCAATTCGCTCCATACTGTAGATCCAACAATAAGTTGAAGCCAGCTCTACAAAATGGTACCTGAAACTTCCCGAAACACTTCATTACAAAAGAGTTATTTAAAATCAGACAGTGAGTACATTTTTTTGGACATCCTGTATAAATCATAATGAGCGTAGAAACAGCATGGATTTCGAAGTATGTGCCTACAGAGCCCTAATCTAAATGATTCAGAATGGAAACACAGATTTTTGAATATGTCGAGCCAATGCGAGATATGGGCAATGGAGTTTATTGCGAATACATTCTATGATTTTACAGCTAGTAAAACGAAATGGTTGCCGATGGCTTGTAAAAGTTACTTCATACAAGCAAAGTTAGATGTATCCGCTTTGTATGGAATCTATAAGTAAATTATCTTGAATATGAGGTAAGCAAAATGAACAGCCGTTCTTTGTTTAGGCTGTATCCTCTACATACAGTGACCGCCAAAAAGTTGCGGACAAGCCTCCCTCTCTTGTTCATCGCTCTTTTTCAGAAGGAAAACAAGGATAAAAAAATGTAATAGTTGCATGTGGTGAAAGAGCTCTTCAAGATCTACAATCTACTCTTTGCGTTTTTCGAAAAACATGTATTCTAAAAATTTTAAAAATCTTTTTCTAAAATAAGTCCGAAAATGGCCGCGTCACAATGTCGCGGACAATAATTCTACGAACGCAAAAATTTTCTTTCGAGTCCTATTCTAAAGCAGAAACACAAGTAATCCAAACGGGTAAGCATACTACTATACAGAGCTAGTCAAGAACTAGATACTGGTTATGGTTGCTTCCCAAAAAACACAAGCTTGAGTTTTATTTTGCCTTTTTTAGAAATAACTTCTAATTCCCTTTTTCAAGCCAAATTCCTTCACACAGAAACCTATTCAAGACATCTTAACAGAGTCATTGGATAAAATGGATGCTCTTTGAGATTCTCTATGCATCGGACGTGTGCTGAGTTTCTTTGCTGAAAATGGCTCTTGGCAGTGCTTGCACATGACCCCACCTGCACATCACCAGTAACTTGTACCGCTTTGCGGCTTGTAACTCGACTTGTAGTCAATTTATGAGCCTGAGATTGGGCTGATTCGAAAGGACGGGACTTCCTCTACACGAAGCTATCAAAAGGGATGGGTATAAAAACAGCGGAGATTTGGCGGATGGGGTGGAAAAACGCGGCCTCAGTGGTGGTTGGAGTGAAGGCTCTTATCAACACCAAAACAGTTCTAAAGCCTTAAAAATGGATCTATTACAAGAACATTGACAGTTTTGAACTCCCAGGATTGAACTGGTAGCGATAAAAGCTCTGTTGAACTTTAGCTGGATATCCTCACCCTACCACTCAAGCTGCGTTTTTTCACCCCATCCGCCAAATCTCCGCTGTTTCTTATTCCCAAATCTTTTGCATACCATGTGTAGGGGATCTCGCTCTTTCGAACGAGCCTAATCTCAAGCTCACACATTGACTACAAGCCGAGTTACAAGCCTGCAAAGCGGTACAAGTTACTGGTGATGTGCAGGTGGGGTCATGTGCAGGCAGTGCCAATAGCCATTTTCAGCAAAGAAACTCATCAGCACACGTCCGATGCATAGAGAATCTCAGAGAGCATCCATTTTATCCAAATGGCTTTGTTAAGATGTCTTGAATAGGTTTCTGTGTGAAGGAATTTGGCTCGAAAAAGGGAATTAGAAGTTATTTTAAAAAAAGCAAAATAAAACTCAAGCTTGTGTTTTTTTGGGAAGCAACCATAACCAGTGTGTAGTTCTTGACTAGTTCTGTATAGTAGTATGCTTACCCGTTTGGATTACTTGTGTTTCTGCTCTAGAATAGGACTCAAAAGAAAATTTTTGCGTTCGTAGAATTATTGTCCGCGACATTGTGACGCGGCCATTTTCGGACTTATTTTAGAAAAAGATTTTTAAAATTTTTAGAATACATGTTTTTCGAAAAACGCAAAGTGTGAATTGTAGATCTTGAAGAGGTCTTTCACCCCGTGCAATCCAACCATTTTTTCATCTTTATTTTTCATCCGAAAATGAGCGATGAAGAAAGGAAGAAGGCTTGTCGGCAACTTTTTGGCGGTCACTGTATGTAGTATTTAAAGATAGTAACACGACCAAGAGTTGTAATAAGTGCATAGATAGACATAACCACTTTAATACTCAAAATCTATTATTTATTATTGATACATTTTCTGTGGAATGAAAAGTTTTATATGAACTGTTCCGAATCCGCGAGCTATAAATTAGAGGTACAAAATAGATTTATTTTCTATACGACATGCTTCAACTAGATAGCTGGCACTTGCTGGCGTCGCTCCTAAGTTTGGATGATTCGCTTATCTTAACATTGTCTGCTATGTCATTTTGCAACATCTGATTCAATCATTTAGATTTGTCTTTAACATATGCTGCAGCCGCCCGCATGTGATTGAGCGGCCCAAAATAGCAATTTTTGGCTTTCTGATTTGAACGGTTTACATTGTATTAGGTCGTACCGAAAGTTCTGTCGTTTCATTTTTGAAAAATCGTAACTTTGCGCTGTCACAACGGATTTACTTCCTTATAATTTTATTAGAAAAAGTAAATCTTTCTCTTTCAACTGCTGTTTTGCGGAGCTTCTGTTTTACATTGAGTGCGGAGATAAAAATGGAAAACTAAACCATGTAAACTTTGACCATTTTAAGTTAGGTCATAAAAAATCTGGAATGCTGCAGAAAAATCTGAAATCATCAGTACATATGTTTTTTGACCTACCCTTTGCATCTGTGAAAAAATTGTGCTGTTTGAACGTCTCTGTGAGAAGTTATGAATATCGAGTTTACTATGGAAAAGGCCAAAATTAATTGATTTGTCAATTTTCGCGAAAATCATAACTTCTCACAGAGACATCCAAACAGCACAATTTTTTCACAGATGGAAAGGGTAGGTCAAAAAACATATGTACTGATGATTTCAGATTTTTCTGCAGCATTCCAGATTTTTGGTGACCTAACTTAAAATGGTCAAAGTTTACATGGTCTTAGTTTTCCATTTTTATCTCCGCATCCAATGTAAAACAGAAGCTCCGCAAAACAGCGCTTGAAAGAGAAAGAATTACTCTTTCTAATAAAATTACAGGCAAGCAAATCCGTTGAAGCAGCGCAAAGTTACAAATTTTCAAAAATGAAATGACAGAACTTTCGGTACAACCTAATATATTTACTCATTTTCGTCTCATTCTTCCGCGTTGCTTCTTCTTGTGATGAACGGAATTCGAACTTGGAATTCCGAATTCCGAAACGAGGTTCGAGAATCAAGCTTTTTCATGTTTTGTTACGATCTATTGGGTTGTCTCATAAGTTTTTTTTTCAATTTTGACTTTTTACCGCAAAAAGTCACAAACTTCTTGATTGTGATTAGAATGCAGGGTAGCGTTTGATAGGGCAAAGCAAGCTGAAAAT